ATGGAACCTGCAGCTATCACATGATACCTTCTCAGGCATCATTTCTGGCCCTGAGCTTGCTTCTCTCCATTTCCCTTGTTGCTCCTCACAAATCACATTGTCATTGTAGCAATGAACTCACAAAATAACTGGAGCCTCTTGATACTGGGTATGGATCACCGATCAATGCAGCTTTTGCCATGATGCAACTTGGAAACACTGGCAATTTGGTGTTGGGAGGAGGAAAGAAGAACAGAATGTTCACAAAACTTATGAGGAAAATAATTCAAGCCTTTGCCTCAAAAACCGAAACACCAGGGAGCTATTTCTAAAGATAGAAAGAAATAAACATTTCACTAGCAGAATTCTTCTCTTTCAGTGGGAACCCCAAAGAGCCAACATAGGTAAATGAAAAGAAACACTTAATTCAAAGTGGGAATTAAAATAGATTATGATTACTATTGTGCTCTCCACATCTTCCTAGTTAATGTTAACAAAAGATGTTTAACGTGTCCTAAGTTTAAGTCTGGTCATATTCCAATGCTTTGCGCATGAATTTAACAGGCTGTTAGAGTGATTACCTTTATAAAACATAATGAATTTGGCCATCTGTAAGAAATGCACCAAAGTCTATAGTGACATCGTGTGAGTGACTAAAAGCAAGAACGCACTGCCAGCGGAGAATACTTTCTGCTTCTCTTCCCTCCACCCCAAAATTCTTTGTATCAAGTAAGCTATCAGTCCCTATTTGCACTTTTTGCATAACGTAAAACTCACTGTTTAACTGAAAACTCATTTCTGTGTTTTATTGCATTTGATTACAATGAAAATGTCTGCTGGGGCTTTCAGACGGAGGTAATTTAGAGTAACAGTATTCATGCCATATGGAAGGAATAACAATATTCTTTCAGATCTGGGAGGGATCTCTTTTTAGCCCCTGGTAGAAATCAGCTTATGTAAAAATTCTTTTAACAGAAGACATGAAAGAATGCATCGTATTCCCATCTCGGCAGTTGACAGCCAAATCTGGGGCTCCACCATCACGGTTTACTTCTCCTTCCTCCAGAAACGGGCCCTGCAGAAGCCTGATTTTTGGCTCTGGCAGACGCCACTCCATCATCTCTGCCTTACCAGACAAGACACATCTCAGCTACTGTGGTAACAGATGCGCTCTAACATACACGTTTTCAACAACAGCATAGCCAAGCGGTTTAAAGCAAGATTTGTTTCTTTTGTTGCTGTTGAATGAGTGAAGAATCTTCAATGAAATCATGACTAGATTCATGAATATTTTTTATACATCCTATGCTCCAAAGCCTTTCACTAGGGACCAAAGCAGCTCTCTCACAACCGTAAGTGGTCTCACCCCAGCATTTCCTAATCTTATGTCTAACGTTCTAGTACCTGAAAGAATTCCCAGGTAGAGATAATCTGTTTCCTCAACGAGACCCTTCAATAAAACACTTTGATGGGTGCTTTAGTTCTGTTATGTTGCCATTTATTCAATGAAAATTTGCCATGGAATTAAACAAAAACAAAAACCCGCAATCTATTCCGGCCTTCATGGCTAATCTAAAGCTGTTAATATTAACTTTCCTTCTATCTTGCTAAGGGTCCTCAGAAATTTTAAGTCCATGGTCACTGGCCACTGTCTCCAGATCTGGAACTTTTATAGTTGATGATACAGAAAAATAGGCACATATTATATTCTCTGAAATACCACTTGTGACTTTTTTTTTTAATTAACTGATTTAGGTATAATTAATCTGTCCAGGCTATGGCCTCCAATATTTCCTAGATATAATTTAGTAGCAATAGGAAAATCAAGAAAAGATAGCATTCACATACACCAAGAACATCTTTTCCTTGAAATCTTAAATTCTTTGGAAAAAGTAAGTTTCAGAAATCAGAGCTCATAACTGTTAGGCACATTTTGGAAACTGATTTGATGCCTGAGTTTTTGTTTAAAAAAATTTAGAATTTTTGTAACATCTGCTCATGAGATTCTTGCTCTCTGACGTAATCAGTGGTCTAGTCAGAAGAGACCTCTGAGTTTATCATCCGAATTTATTCAATGGAAATTTACCTTGGCAAATGAAGGATAAATAGAATGTAACAGGAAACATGTATTTTAAAAAGTATTGTATTTATAATTACTGGCAAACAGACTAAGAATTTTAAAATATTCTTTCTGCTTTAAAAAAAAAAAATTAAATCCAAGCTTCAAAACCCAGATTATTGGAGCAGAGGTCCTTGGCCTTTAAGTAATAAGATGCCCTTTCAGAATTTGATGAAAGCCAGAAATCTTTTACCTTTAGGAAAAAGGCACATACCCGTAACTTTGCATACCACTTCAGGGGAAATCTCAGCCTTTTGAAATCCATACAGAAGTCTGTGGTTAGGAACCCTCCAGCCAGTCTTAGAAATTATTTGTGTTGCCTCTTACATCCAACCATTTTGCCTCTAACCAATAGAGGGTGTCATGGGCTCCTGACATTAAAGAGCTCATAGAAAAGTCAGGTCCACAGACATCCAAAGCCAAAACCTTCCCAACAGGCTAATTAACCTCGTAGTAGTACAGAAATCTATTATGGGAAGCCCTCAGAAGAATGTTAAGACTGGTAGTATCTGCCACCAATTTGCCGTTGGTGGATTAACTAATGCACAGTGCTGTTATTACTCATAATCACCATTGTTCAAGGACATTATTGTGCTAGGGGCTCTACTAGGCACTTTATACATTTTATTACTTCTCCTAACTACCAGAACATTCCCACCTTGGGGTGTATTGCCACCTCACTGTATAGATGTTTAAGTACCTTTCTTGAGGTCACACGCCAGTTCCTCATAGTAGGGAATTCAAATGCCCATTTGTTAGAGGCTGAAGCCAGTGCTTTTAATCTTGTGGTCAAGGGCCAGGAGTTTGACAACCTGGATTGCCAGCTGGCCGTGTTCTCTGCTAGAGCCGACTCCCCACTGTGGCCTAATCCCAGCAAATGTGTGGGCAAGGATCAGTGCAAGTCAGGTAGACTTTTGTAACAAAATCAGAAGTACGTTTCTAGTGTTGTTTCAGTAGTGACATGTGCATGCCCAGAGTATACACTATTCTCTAACACAAGTGAGAAAGACTCTGGTGGAAACTTACCAGAACAGCCTACAGTGAAGAACAGCATATTCCCTCACAGTACATGGTGGAAGAACTTTTTTCCCCCTTTAATTATGAGTCCATTATGGTATTTTTAACCTTTTATGGAAAATTTTAACAGAATGATATAATGAATGCCCATATACCATTACTTGGCTTCAGCAATTACCAACTCATGGTTAATCTTATTTCTTCTAAGCCACCACATGCTTCTCCCACTCCCCATTATTGTTTTAAAGCAATCCTCAGACATATCATTTTTTTCTGTAACTAAGGGAAATAATACTTAATGAAGTCCATGTTGGGCTGTAGCTATGGCTACAGTTTGCTCATTGCTAGAGTCCTGGTAATAAATATTCCACGAACTATGCTCTTTGCGGTCAAAATTGCTGTTACATCATAAAGGAAAACAGAAGTTACTTATGACAGTGAAATATCAAAGATCTACCAATTGTATATATTTTTTAAATAATATTTTTAGCTTGCTGTGGCCTGTGGAAAATGCATTGCTCTGATTCCTGTGTTCCACATGGGATTGCTATAAGGGTTATGTGAATAATATATGTAAAAGCCTTATGCTACTAAAAGGGATTATTGCTTAACACTCCAAAATTATATTGCTTTTGACATAAGATAAACAACTGGCACGTGGAAGCCTCAATTAAGTGAACCTTGTTGATCTATTTGCCTATTTATTCTATCATTTAGAGTTTTGAAAGCTCAGTTTACACGGGGAGATTATAACATCCTGAGAAAGATTTTGTAAGAAATACATATTTTAAAAGACAGCTTCACTGCTGTGGGCACACATGGCAGTAGTTAGCAACATGTTTCCCTGTTATTCTCTGAGTACTAAATCCTTGTAGCTGCTCTAGGCACTCCAGGACCCCCAGCCCTGTCCTCACTATGTCAGCTGAATAAAACAGCCCTGACTGAACCCTGAATTTCCTACTGCACAGAAAGATGTCATGGACAAAACTTATTTTTCTATTATTGCAATTATCATTAGAGTATGGAAGGGTAGAATTCTCAAAAAGCCCTGGCAAGATCAATCGTGATTTAAATATGAATTTTATACATGCAAACTTTCTGACGATAAATATGCATACACAGAATTACATTTGATTGCATAACATTGCTAAGGCTTCTCTTGCTGAGATAGGCTTTCTCCAGACAGTTTTTGTTGTTGTTGTTGTAATAGTGATTGAAAAAGTGAGAAAGGCCATTCACAAGGTGAGAGATAACTTAGTGGGAACAGATCTCAAAGAGAGTTATGCAAATTGTATTGAACATGCTCACTCTAAATGACTAGGGAAAGGAATTCTACCTAACATTTTAAAAGGAATGTGCCCTGTTGGTCATTTGCTGTATAATGCTTTTAATATCTGAAAGAAAATTAAGCAAATAATCTGATGTGCCTTGGTGAAAGCTTCACAAGAAACCATTTCCATTAGACATGGACTCAGCTCTTCAGCAGAGCCTGGTTTGCCTGATGCATTAAGGCACAGTAGATGGTAAAGTAGGACCCAGAGTAGAGGTTTGGATTCAGATGGCACAGCTAAAATATTTCCTGAAAACAAACAAAACAAAAACATACAAAGAAAATAAGCAAATATATCTCTTGGAGAACCTGTAAAAGCTGGGGTGGATTATTTTACCAGGCAGAAGGAATTCTGGCACTCTGAACATTAGATTTATAAACTTTCAACATTGCTTTAACAATTTCAAATTGGTGATGCTGGCAGTATCATCAAATTATACAACAGATCTAAATAAGATTTTTTAAATGTTACATTCCACAAAATATTAGGACTTGTGACTGAAAATACCATTTGAGTTCATTTCTTTAAATGTTTATAAAAAGAGAAGCCACAAGTTTAGAGAATAAACAAACTTTATTTTATAACAGTATTACAGAAAGCAAAATACCATTTAATACAACTTAAAGCTGCTATAAATCTAATCTGGCATCATAACTATACATAGTGTCAAAAGCAAAGGAAAAAATGTTCAATACAGTTAATAACTCCCTATCAGGTCTCTGGTGTCAGCTTTAAACAGTATAGCTTTCTTTATAACCAACAAAAGACGACCACAGCCCCTATTCCTCTCTCCAGCGTCCTCAAACCTGTGCGAGTCATCAAACTATCTGAAAGAGATACACCTGCTCAATAACAAAAGGTAAGTTTTACATGTAGACAAGGAGGTTTAATACAAAGCAAGCATTCTACGCAAGTGTTCAAATAATGGAAGCTATTGAAATCTGGACATGTTAAGAAAGAAAGCACTAAGGTTTTAAGCTGCCTGAGTCTTTTAGTAGAAGGGAAGAAACAGTTTTCTCTTTTCCCTCCCTCCTGTTTCTGGAATGCTGCCGAAGAGTGTGTTTTCTGAGAAGCAATGGCACTGTGGTGCAATAGGGTTTCCAGACACAGTGCATGGTCAACAAACTTCTTCATAATTCTCCAGTCTGGAGATTCTCTGACTTTCCACTGAAAGCAAAGAGTCACAGGACTAGAAAGTCAAGAGGGTTCAATATAAAAAATATTCCCAATGAAATTCTAAAACATTAGAAACTTTTCAAGATGTAAGAAAATGCTTTTAATCCGTGTTAATATTTTCTCATACAGTATATTTACTGCAATCTGAAAACTCTGCAAATATTTACTGTAAGAATTCAAAGGAAAGAATCTGGAAAAAAGAAAGCCACTATCTAAATTAGTCATAGCATTTCCTTTCCGCACAACAGCACCTGTTCAAGTGAACAGCACCTTACCAGCTTGGGCTGGCTTTGTTCACTATCATTAGATCAACATGAGTCACACAAAGCAGGCAGTTGTACACAAAGTAAACAGAAAACAAAAACCCCCTAATTAAAAAAAAAAGAACCAAAGATACTTAAAAGTGGTTATAAAACAAAATAATATATTAAAATGCAGGGGAACAGTATAGACCAGAGCTGTTAAGGTAAGGTTTGGTGTTGGCATTTTAATCTTCAGGCTCCTGGTCATTGTTACCAGTTGTAGTATAAATCTGCTGGAGCAGTGGTGGGGTATTAAGACTTGGAATGGTCAAAATTCTTCAGGTTCACAAAGTTGAATGTTGCTTAAGAAACAAATTTCTAAGAGGGAAAAAGGAGAGAGAAATAAGATTTAAATATTACAAAAACAGTGGTTTGAAAAATATGTAACATTCACCATACTTCAAATCAAGCAATCAACAGTTGCCATCTGCCTAATTCTACGTAAATAATGTTTACCAAAGACAAGCATGAGAGCCTGTTCAAAATCTGGAAGGCCTTACAATATCTAGAAAATTAACAACTACACTACAATCAACTGGCAAATTAGAGTACATTAAAAAATAGTTAACTAATTAACTTAAAGACAACTTGTATAGTTAAAAAAAAAAAATTGTTATCATCAATTCTGACTCATAGTGACCCACGTGTGCAGAGCGGAACTGCTCTACAGAGTTTTCAGGGCTGTGACCTTTCCGAAGCAGATCACCAGGCCTTTCTTCTGAGGAGTCTCTGGGTTGGAATGGCAACCTTTCAGTTAGTAGTCAAACACTTAACCCTTTGTGCCACCCATGGACCCCATTTTTATAAGAAGACTCTAAAAAACAGAGAAACTAACATAGGTTTTAAAGCTAGCTTCATGGAGGAGGAAAACAAGCTGGATTTCGTCTTCACTGAAATGAACAGAAAGGGTGCTTCAGGTGGGAGGGCAGAATGAGGAAGGTGGTATGGAAGTGACAAAGTGTGCGATATTAAGACGGGTATAAAGATGTACGTGCATGCCAGGAGGAGGATGAATGGGAGGAATGGGATAGTAAAGACATGGTCATTATTAAAGCGAAGTATTGATACAATGAGTAATAGACGGTAAGGTAAAAAAAAATATTACATCCATTCTTTAATTTTAGACTAAGAAGTATGAATTTGATCTAATAGTTAAAAAGAATGAGCTCATAGAGCATTGAGACAAAAAGACCAACTGTCAGTCTACTGCAATGGTCCAGAGCAGAGTGTGAGAGCCAGCGAGCCAGAAGACAGGTCAGAGAGCCAAGCAGCAGGCAGTTCACACAGAGCTTGATTCGCCCGGAAAAGGGGGCTGGATTTGGTTCTCCTTTGGTTTTGAGGCAGGGTATGACAGGGCTGGATGTGGGTTTGAAAACGTATCTGCAGCTTCAGTGCGATCAGTAGGGAGAAGGGGGAGGAGAGTGGAGGAAAGCACACCAGTCAGGAGGCCCCTGGAGCGGCCCAGGCTGGATGAGGAAGATGACAAATGTCAGGTATTATTGCTAGATGGCAACGACCCAGACTGGTGCGGTTATAAGAAAATCAGGTGGAAGAGAGGAATTAGAGAGGCACCACAAGTAAAAGAATCACAAAGCATGGTGACTAAGAAGGCAATACCAGAGAGGACTATAAGGTTTGGAGTCTGAGAGCTCAAGCAAAGAGGGAGAATGACAGGCTTCAGTGGGGGTGACGCATCAGGAGGAGGGCCTAGATGTGGAAGTCAGCATGAAGGGATAAATGAAATCAATAAATGGAACTAAGTCACATGTGAGTATAAGCAAAATGGAAAGCACTGAGACTTGGGGAAGTCCACAGTCAAAGGTAGTAGGTAGGAGAGAGGACTAAAAAAGAAGTGGACAGGGAGGTAGACAAAAACTAAGGATAATGCATTTCCCTGAGAGAGGAAAGGGTTTTCAGAAGGCAACCGTTTCATTTTCTATTTCAGCTTGGTTGGAAGTTTTGGAAAATGGTAGGTAATTACACAGGACAGTGGAAAGTGGTAGTTAATGTCCTTTCCAATCCCAAGAGACTCTGATCCTGAAGTCAATCACAATGCTTAGATATTTGCTTAGATAAAATTAAGTCTTGTTTTAACTATGTCAAGAGTGCTGGCACATATATGTTCTGCTACATTTACCACCCCTGGGGGTTTACTGGCAGGCATTTGAGCCACTTTAGTACTTTCTGGCATCATGGCAGATACTGGTGCAACTGCCTAAAAAACAAGGAAGTTAGTCTGTGCCACATTTGAGTGTTGTGAGCCATTCGTATGGGGGATGCTTCTCGGAGGAGTGACTGTGTGAAACTTTTGTGTCTTTTGGCTTCTGTACAGTGAGATAAGGCTTGCAAGTATGTTTACTATTTCCTTTGTGTTACTGGGAAGGTACAGACACTGGCATTCAGACATATTCAAGTAAATGAGTTACTTTTGGGTGAAAACAGTTTGTGATGCACTTCCTGGGCCATGGGACTAATATGTACCATGTTCATAATGTACTTCATGGAACATAGGACCAATATGGTCTGCTTGCAATCGGTACCTGAATTTTTTCAAATAATAAAGAACTACCAACAATGATTCAGCATCCATCCCATTAGTGAAAAAGCATGGCATCACCAAAAAATTCCAAAAATAAATAAATAATAATAATCCTTTAAAGTGTCTGAAAAAAACTCTCACCATTTAGATTTATCACCAATATTATTATAGCCTCTTGTTTATTCAGGACAGACTGATTAATCAAATTCATCGCTTCTCATCCTGTTGTCTGCCTCAGGCTATTTCATTACTCGTTAGTACTTCCACTTGATTCTAGGCAGGGAAAAGAATCAATGGAGAAGGGACAAAGTTGTCTTTTTCTATGGTAGCAATTATGAAAAGAAATGTGTGGGCTTGCGGAGGAAAAGTTGATAAAATTACCAATCAAACTGGATTTGAGAGTCATCTGTGACCTTCAATCTTGCTGTCTATTCTTGTTCTTTGAGAGCTGGTAGCTCTGTTTGCTTTGCTTTGTGAATATGCATCCTAGTACTGTTGCCATTTTATTTACTTAGTTTTCCCCTGACATTACCAGTGCCTAGAAACCTACAGAGAAAATGAGGGTTAGGATTCTAGTCTCCATTCCTGCTAGGCTCCCTGTCTTTGTTTCACTGGATCTGTTTTCACCAGAAATTAAATTTTCACCTCATAATGAGTCACAATTTGTAAAACAAAGCTGAAATTAAACTTGTTCTGGAGTCTTGAGTAGGCAAACAGGAAACTAGGAGGAGTATGTAGGAATTGAAGGAAATGGATCTTCATCTCAGAGAGTGTCAAAATTTATAGAGCTAGATACAGACAAAAAGACACAGCTACCCATATAAATTCAAATACAATTTACTTCCATTTATTTATAATCAAATGACCAGAAAGCAAAATAAACTGATTTTTCCCCTCTGGTAATAAGTATTACAAAATGACAGCCTTAATATGCTCTTAGGACTTCAAACAGCTTCCAGAATCAAAGAAAATTATATTTATCATAATTTTAATGTTAAATGATTTGATTATCTTCTAGTTCTTTAAAAAGTAATAAAGCAAGTGTAACTCTTGAGTTAATTAGAAAATTCAGTGTATTAAACCACCCCAGTTCCCTTGCTTGATGAATAGGGAACAATTTATTTACGCATCCACATTATCTTTTTTTGACTGCTTCTTTTACTTAAACACATACAGAAATGTGTTCCCAAGTACTAAACATCTAGTTTTTGAGCTGGGAAGGAGAAATGATAAGGGTAGAATCAATATCACTGTTGCACAAGTATCAGACATTTTTAAAAATTCTGCCTTTTGGCATATATCTGTGAGAAATAAACTGAATACGTGACAATTTTTTTTTAGACTACATTTTGGGTCTAAATGGTTTACCACATATCCCAACTAAACTGAAAACTAGGGAGGGATTCTTCTTATAAGAGTTCTAAAAGTTTTAAGAACTTCCCTCACCCCCAAACTTGAATTTTAGCTAATATATATCAGTGTGGAAATCTTTACTTAGCCAATAAACCAAAAACCAAACCTATTGCTGTTCGAGACGATCCTGACTCATAGTGACCCTACAGAAGAGAACAGAACTGCCTCATAGGATTTCCAAGGAGCTGCTGGTAGATTCGAACTGCTGACTTTTTGCTTAGCAGCTGAGCTCTTAACCACTGTGCCCCCAGGGCTCCTACTTAACCAATTAACCAAAAAAACCAAACCCACTGCCTTCGATTCTGACTCCTAGCGCCCCTATGGGACAAAGTAGAACTGGCCCATAGAGTTTCCAAGGAGCACCTCGTGGATTCAAACTGCCGACCTTTTGGTTAGCAGCTGTAACTCTTAACCACTATGCCACCAGTGTTTCCACTTAGCCTATACAAGGCATTAAATTCAATCAGCTTTCACCTTTAACAACATCATGGTTCACTTTGAGTATGGATAAAAATCATAGCTGTAAGTATACGAATTATAGTTCATGTAAGAGAATTTTAGTCAAATAAAAACAAAAATAAACCACTGCTTCCACACTTCAGTTTTCCTGCTCCAGGACTATACAATGTCAGTAAACATTACTAAACACTACAGTCACATTCCCTAGTCTCTGTCCCCCCCTTTTGGTCAATGTGAGAATAGGTCAATGTGGCTAAGGATACATTGTCTGTCACTTGCTTACTTTGCCTTAAGCTCTCACAGAGGGTTCAAGAGCTTCTTACTTGTTTTTCTCAATGTGACAAATGAGCAGTGACAAAAGTCAAGTTCTTGGTAGAAATTCTTTGGTCGGATCTGAACAGCAGAGCCTTGGAGTTTCCAGATACACTGGGCTCACACTGTGGGTCTCAATCTTGAGGGTGCCCTACTCCAGACATGGAGTCAGTAAACTGCAAACACATACTTTTAAATAAGCACTTGAGGTGGCTATGATTCAGTCAGTCCAAGAACCACGGGGAAACACTGCCAGAGGCGACCTCATTAAAAACGTAAGAATGTAGTTTTTATTCAAAATAATTAAAATAATGCAAGAAAATATAACCTTTCCCTTAGATTAATGAAGATGCAATTACTACAAGACAGTAATATAATCAGACATTTTGGCAACACCAATAAAATAGTTATGTAAGACGATGCAATTGTTTCCGAAACAAATAAAAATGAGACCCACGCACTCGGGCAGAACATTCAGTTTTAAGTATGCTAGTTTATGAATGTCCACAGTTCTATCTAATGTTGAACTTTACTTTTATTTTCCCCTGGTTTTCTCAATTTGCATATTTGATTTTAATTTTTAAACAGAATTCCA